CTGCCGCACATTTTGTAATTTCTATATTATCTCTTATGGAGCTTAAAAAATTGTCTGAAACTAAAATTACCATGAAATTTTAATATTACTATAATGTAATTTTTTTTCAACAACTTTCCAAATCCTCAAGATCACTCTAAGAAGAGTGGGGAGTGTTAATATTCGACACGTCCTAACAACGTGCCCTCAGCAGTCTAACAGACGATAAACTATGGTAGAGACAGCTGTCTTATCTTTGTTTTGGAGGAGCTGGGCGAAGCCGAGGCAGTAAATTATTGTCTGCAGATATCGGGGACAAACACTGACTGACCCTAGACTTAGACAGACAGATCGCGATGATAAAGTGTCTAGTGAAGTGACTGCGACTCTGGTATTTCGATCGATCGTAAATAATTTTATCTAAAACAGTCGAGTGGCAAAGCTGTATGATTTTGTTGTTGTTTTGGGGGTGTTTTTGGTGTTGTTTCTGTTGTTGTTGTTGCTGTTGTTCCTGTAGTTGCTGTTGCTCTTAAGCTTATTCAATTATTTTTGTTGCTGTTGTTGTTGCTGTTGTTGTTGCTGTTGATGTTGTCAAACATTATGTGGCCCGAAACCCAAACAGACAGATCGCGATGATAAAGTGTCTTGTGAAGTGACTACACCTCTGGCATTTCCATCAATCGTCATTCTAAAATAGGTGAATGGCAAAGCGATATAATTTTGTAGCTGTTTTGGGGTGTTTTGTGTGTGTTGTTTTTGTTTTTGTTGTTGCTGCTGTTGCTATTATTATCATAATTATCATTATTATTATTATTAGTAGTAGTAGTAGTAGTAATAGTAGTAGTAGTAGTAGTAGTAGTAGTATTAGTAGTAGTAGTAGTAGTAGTAGTAGTAGTAGTAGTAGTAGTAGTAGTAGTAGTAGTAGTAGTAGTAGTAGTAGTAGTAGTAGTAATATTATTATTATTACTGCTACTACTATTATTATTATTAGTATTATTATTATTATTATTATTATTATTATTATTATTATTGTTATTGATGTTATTATTGCTATTATTGTTATTTTTTATGTTGTTGTTGTTGTTGCGGTTGTTATTGCTGTTGCTACTGTTGCTGTTGCTTTCAATCATTGTATGACCCTAAACCTAAACAGACAGATCACGATATTGAAGTGTCTAGTGAAGTGACTACACCTCTGGCATTTCGACCGATCGTAAATCTAAAACAGGCGTGTGGCAAAGTTGTTTGATTTTGTTGCTGTTTTTTGCTTTGTTTCTGTTATTGTTGTTGTTGTTGTTGCTTTTCTTGTTGTTGTTGTTGTTGTTGTTGTTGTTGTTGTTGTTGTTGTTTTGTTCTTGTTTTGTTCTTGTTACTGTTGTTTATGTTGTTGTTGCAGTGCTTTTATAGTTAAGTGGCAGAGTATTTTTCTTTTGTGTTGCACCTGCTGCTACTCCTGCTGCAGCTGTCATTTTTGTTGTTGTTGTTGATGTTGTTGCTTTTGTTGTTGTTGTTGTTGTTGGTTTTGCTTCTGCTCGTGTTAAATTTGTACTACCTGGGTTTTTTTACGGCCTCGTCGACATTATTTCAATCTTCTACGTATGGGTTGCTTAGGCCCTGTAGGTTAGGGGCAAACAGGGCAGAGAAAAATACAATACCCAAACACACAGACCGAACGAGATGATCGATAAGAATTCATTCTCCCCACACTGGAATAGAACTCATGTCGCCTGAGTGCGCCAGTGAAGCACCTAGACCGTGCGCCACAGACACCAGTGCTTTTGTTATTACTGTTGCAATGTTTCTAATCTTGTTCTAAAACTACTAAGTTTTTTTTAATTTCGAAGTCTGTTCTAGTTACTATTAAAACAATTAGACTAATGAGACAGAAGGAACACGGTGCTTAAGTTTTAAAAAACCAACAACAAACAAAAAAAAGGCCTAAACAGAAATGAAGTTATTGAATACTTACAGAGCTTATCATCATCATCATCATCATCATCATCATCATCATCATCATCATCATCATCATCATCATCATCATCATCATCATCATCATCATCATCATTGTTAGTAGTAGTAGTAGTAGTAGTAGTAGTAGTAGTAGTAGTAGTAATAGAAGTAGTAGTAGTAGTAGTAGTAGTAGTAGTAGTAGTAGTAGTAGTAGTAGTAGTAGTAGTAGTAGTAGTAGTAGTAGTAGTGGAATTGTTTTTATTATTATCAAAATCGGTTTTTTTTCTTTATTATCTTCATCATAATTTGTTTTTCATACTTTTATTTTTAAGTATTATTATTATTATTATTATTATTATTATTATTATTATTATTATTATTATTATTATTATATGTATTATTTTTATATTCGCGTATTATTTTTATATTATTACTAGGTCTATGATCTATTATTATTATTGTTGTTGTTGTTGTTATTATTATCCTTATCATCATCCTTATTACTATTATCATTATTATTATTATTTTTTTATTTATTTTTTTATTATTATTATTATTATTATTATTATTATTATTATTATCATTATTTGGTTATCATTAATAGTATTGTTATTAAAATTAGTAGTAGGAATATTATTATTAATATTACTATTACTATCATTTCAGGGTGCTGCCTATCCTTGCTGTAAGTGATTCACAACCTAATTTCATGGCGCAGACATATCCCTAGAATGTAGAGACTCCGCCCTGTGCCTGATGCTCAACAACGTACTGCATCTGAACTCTTGCAATTTTAAACCGAAGAATCAGAAAGGAACAATAAAGTTTAATTTTCTTTTGCTGATTTATATAGACTCATAGTTCACCAGATAATCTAAACTGTGTCGAAGGGGGTATGGAAACACCTACAATCAGAAAAATAACAACATAAATAAAGACGTCACAAGAGGAGTTTTCCTTGAACCTCTGCGCTCAGAGTCACGAGACAGTGTCCAGGTTGGGCTGCCTGCAGTCATGAGCCGAGAACCAAGCGGTCTGATGTCAGATCCCAGTTTTGTGGTCATCAAATATGGGGGTGAGTCATAACCTCTTTGACGTGAGTGAAAAAAGTAATTGTTGAGTACCTGCATCTTATGTGCAACAGTTAAGTGCTTTAATGTCTCATGCAGAAAACTCGAGTTACAATACCTTAGGGGGAGAAAATTATAGTAGAAGTTCTCGGACTTTCAGTTGGGATGCTTTATATTTCTCAGCCAGGGTTGTTTCTGACGGGCAGGGTCGGCAGCCCGCCTCTTTAATGATATTAGTTGTGTCAAGTGGGGCATAAAAACTCCTGCATTTTTTCTTAATGTGTATGTTATAGTAGATGAGTTTAGTAGTCGTAGACTTGGATTATAGTTTCCTAGATTGTTAGATTGTGCACACTGGAGTGGTTCTTATTGACAATAGAGCATGCCAAGTGACTCAATATAGAGCCAAATAAAGGGAGTAAACAGTGGGGGGGGGGGGGTGAATTACCGTGCAAGGTCAACGAACGCAAGAGTGGTGTTTTGTCCTTCATTTTGACGCCCATGGTGCGCACGCTCAGCAGCGAAGTTTCATGGACACACCAAACATTTTCAGTAGGTAGGAGATTTTTAATTTTGCCCGGGTGGAGGCCGAAGCCTACTCTTATCGATGTTAGACCGCCATTGAATCTTTAACGTGCGCAACTTGCACACAGGACCTCCGAGATTTTTCGTCCTTGTCCGAGAAGGCTAGGTGTAGGTCTTTCCTATCAGAAGATCAAAGGTGTGGCTGAAAGACAGCAGTAAGAAGGAGCCAAGGAGTAGCAGTAGAAAGGCTACAGAAAGAGTCAAGAGCCCAGAGGAAGGGCCAAAAGAGGTGAAGGGTTGGGGGAAGAAAATGGAGATGAATTAAGCAGACGACAGGACACTGTAAGAGAACAGGAAAGGAAGTGAAAGGAGACAATTTTAGAGACGATTCCGTCGCTACCTGGATTCGAACCCGTACCTTTGAATGAGAGGCTAACACCTTAACCTCTAGGCCACGAGAGCCCCCCAGGGCCAGACAGTTGGATCATGTATGTAGGCTATGGGTGGGAATCTGCGATATACAGTTATTGCTTTTTATTCATTCACAATTTAAAATGTATGGTCATCCTTCATTGGTTGATTGATTGATTGATTGATTAATTGATTGATTGATTGATTGATTGATTGATTGATTGATTGATTGATTAGAGTTGCCGCACAAATAAATGTACGTCCTTCCTGTCCCCTCAGATGACCAGGAAGCCTTGATTAACCCCTTCTGCTCCACTTACATCTTCCTAGACTGGATTCGCCGTATCTGCAACTGCGGCAATGACAGTGAGTTTCCAAGTATAGTCAAGCCTACTCTATGATGATCGCCTGTATAAGATGAACGCCTGTACAAACAGCCATTACTGATTTCCTCCCTTGTATAGAGTTGTTTGTATTATAATAAGATTGTGTACGACAGAGGCCTGTATTTTCTTCTTAACAACAATGACATTGTGTAAGACGGCCGCCTGTATAAGACGACCACTTTTCTACTCCACAATGGGTGGCCGTCTTAGACAGTTTCGGCTGTATTTGGGTTGACCCTTACAGATCGAGTCGCTTATATTATTTCCCTCACAGACCGCAGGCCATTAAAGCCCAGCAACGCATTTTTACTGTAATCTACAATTTTGTCTCTGAAAGATTTGCTACATGTTATCTTCTAAAACTTCTCACAAAAGTAGCATACACGTAATTATAAAAGTGTTTGAAGCTTGATTAAAATTTATGACACTTTCAGTATTGACAAAGGCCTGGATAGTCAAGGACTCTCGCATTACCTAGGCCAAAGAGAACCGAGGGCTAAAAATAGCCTGTGCTGAAGAGGTTAATGATAGAAGGCTAGTAGTTTGTATGTGTGTATGTATGTATGTATGTATGTATGTATGTATGTATGTATGTGTGTATGTATGTATGTATGTATGTATGTATGTATGTATGTATGTGTGTATGTATGTATGTATGTATGTATGTATGTATGTATGT